ATTCCCTCTTCCCCCTATCCTTCCCCCCCCAGTCAACCTTCCTGTTCCTCCATGACCTACTCTCTCTTCCTCTTCTCCCCCTCTTTTCTTCCCAGCTTCCACTCCCTCCCCACCCCTCGCTGTGTTCCCAATCTGTTCAGAAGATCTTGCCTCATTCCTCTTCTCTGAAGTACCATGCATATCTCTCTTATGTTTCCTGTTTCCCAGACTCTCTGTCAGTGCAAGTGCAGACTGGCACTCTCCTGATCCATGTCTAAAATCCACATATGAGTGAGTACATACCATGTTTGTCTTTTTGTGACTGGGTTACCTCACTCAGGATGGTTTCTTCTGGTGCCACCCATTTACCTTCGAATTTCAAGATTCCATTGTTTTTTTTTTCTGCCGAGTAATACTCCATTGTGTAAATGTACCACATTTTCTCTATCCACTCTTCAGTTGAGGGGCATCTAGGTTGCTTCCAGGTTCTGGCTATTGCAAATAATGCTGCTATGAACATAGTGGAGCAGATGCCCTTGTATGAATTTGCATCTTTTGGATATATGCCTAAGAGTGGGATTGCTGGATCTTGTGGTAGATTGATTCCCATTTTCCTGAGGAATCTCCATATTGAGGAAATCTATGACTAGTCTCATAAAAATAAATTCAAAATTATCATATGAAAGAAGTGTCATGAGTTATAAGGATACACAGATAGTCAACTAAATTAAAACAGGAAATGATATTGGAATAGAATGAGAATATTAACATAGCAATCGGAACTATGAAAAAACAAGTTCTTGATTAAAGAATAACTGATCTAAAAATGTATACAGAGCTTACACATCATACTTGATCAAGAGAGAAAATAGAGATTGTGAAAACAGTTCATTTGAAGTTATCCAGACTGGACAGGCGTTCTATAGTACTTATGGGTCCTATAAAGTGAACAAAAGTACATGTCATAGAAATTTGAGAAATAAAAAGAAAAGAGAAAAGGGGGAAATAAAGATTATATAAAGAACTAGTGCTCAAAACTTCCCAAATTTGGATAGGTAAGTAGGCAACCAGATACATGAAATAAAAAAAACCCTACATTTAGATGCATTAAGATAAAATCATCTTTTTTGTGTAGATAGACTTTAAAAATTTATTATTTGGCAATTTCATGCATGTATATAATACATTCTGTTTGCAACCCACACACTCTCTACTCCTCCCATTCTTACCACTCCCAACTGAATACCCATATCACTTTCATGTCCTTTTATTTGTTTTTTAAAGTCCAAAGGCAAATGAAGAATGTGAACGCTCGAAGAGGAGCCTAACTAATCATGTGCAAAGGAGCCTGGCTGCGTCTATATATGCATAGATTTCTTTGTAGACACCTTCTCAGCTGAGAAGGAATGGGGTGAGGCAAAGTACTGAAAGAAAAAAAGTCAGCCCAAACCTCTAGGGCCAGCCAAACTGTTCTTTCAAAGCAAGTAAATGATAAGAACATTCCTTCATCAATAAAACCAAAGGCGATTGTCTCCACTTGGCCAGATTTACAATAAATGCCAAAGGGAGTTCGTGAAGTTCAAACAAGAAGTTGCTAGACAGCAAAATGAAAGCATATAGAACTGTGAAATGACATAAATATTTCAACAGCCACTTTCAGCAACTACAGCAAAAGACCAGTAAGAGAACTCGGTCTTAGAATGCTAGCAAATAAATGGATTAACAGACGTACTCGGAGCACATCGCTCAGCGATAGAAAACACATTCCCTTCCAGTAAACATGGACCATTCACTAGACGATAGATTACACGATAGGTCACAATATAACTGTTAACAATTTGAAGAAGACCAGTGATACCAAACAGCTGCTGCTGCTTCCTCCTCCTCCTCCTCCTCCTCCTCCTCCTCCTCCTCCTCTTTTCCTCAATAGAATGAAACCCAATTATGTGCTGATTAACCCAATAGTCTTTTGAATGTTAATTATTACTTGTGTGCATTGCTCTAACCGTGGGAGAGGGTGGCACACATGCTTACAGTGTGCATGTGGAAGTCAGAGAACAACTCTATGGAGTCAGCTCTCTTCTACCTTTATGTGTGTTCAGGGGCTCAAGCTCAAATCATTAAAGCTTGCATAATCAGGCAGCAAGTGCCTCTACTGCTGAGCCATCTGGCTGGCCTAACCTCATGCTCTCAAACAACCAGTGGGCCAAAGAAAAAAATCAAAATAGAAATTAGAAAATATGAAACAAAATGAAAATACAATGTGCCAAACTTACAGGACACCAGAAAAGCACTAGTGCAGTAGTAAAACAATCTCTTCCCCCTTCCTTCCTTCCCCTCCCTCCCTCCTCCCGTTTCTGTTTAGGTGATGCTTGGGATTGAACTCAGGACCTCTCACACACTAGGTAAGCATGCTACAAGTGAGTTATTTCCCTCGTCCTTTAATGACAACAAAATTGAGATATGGGTTCACTAAGCTGAAGTCACTCAGTAGGCTGGAACCGGATATTAAATTTGTGGTCCTCCTGTCTCAGTGTCCCAAGTAGCTGGGGTTACATGCCTGTGTCACAATGACTGACTCAATATAGATCTGGGGATGTGATTCTCTGTGGAAGATTATTTTCATATCATGCATTAAACCCATGTTTCATCCCCAGCAACACATACACACACACACACACACACACACACACACACACACACACGTCCACCTTCCTGCACACATGTGCACTTACACACACTCAAGATTGTTAGGAAAACAATAGTAAAAAATATCAATGAAGCTGAAGAAGTACAGCATCAATAGACACACTAACATGGAAGGGGGAAATCTCAAGGGGTCTCCTCAACTCTACACAAAGAACTGCAGGCTACTAAGGAATGCTGAGAGTTGGAGAAACAGTTATCTAGAGATAAACCTTCCCCAGTTGATTATTCAATAGCAATTAGTCAGTCTTGAAAAACCATTATACAGATTGAGGATGTTGTATTTATATGTTTATGCATACATATGTTTATGAAAACACACATATATGACAAAGAAAAAGAGGCCATGAATTGGAGAGGGAGTGAGGGGACTTGGAAAGAGGGAAGGGAAGAAATGATGTAACTATATTTTAATTTCAAAAAATGAAGAAATAATTTTAGTGACAAAATTCAATTTATTTAACTGGTAAAAATTCTCAAAAGGTTAGGAATAAAATGGGCTTCATTATAATAAAGGTCACATATAACAAGCCCACAGCTGTCATCACGTTCAGTGAAAACTGGGAGCTTTCTCTAAATTATGGAACAGAGCAAAGATATGTACCCTCATGACTTCTAGTCAACATACTACTGGCAGTTATAGCCAGAACAATTAGGTAAGCAAAGAAAAGAAATGACATTCAAATTAGAAAGGAAGAAATAAAATTACCTCTGCGCACACATGACATGATCTTATATATAGAAAACATCAAAAAACCCTCAAACAAAAAAATACTAGAACTGATAAACAAATTAATTTCCAGAAGAAAATGTCAACACACAGGAGTCAGTTTTATTTTATGTAGACTAACAATGAACTACCAAAAGGTAAATAAGGAAAATCTAATTTAAATATCATCATATATAACATAGCATTTGGAAATAAACAAGGGGCCAAAAACCTCCCCTCACTGAAAACTGCACTAAACTGATTAAGGAAATTAGAGAAAACACAAATAGAAAGATACTCCTTGTCCAAGGATTGGACGACTTAATGTTAAATTATTCATACTAACCAAAGCAATCTAAAGGGACCTAGAGTGATGGCTCAGCAATTAAAAGCACATGCTGTGCAATCACGAGGACCAGAGTTTAGATCCCAACACCTAAGTAACAATCCAGCATCCAGCGCAAATACCTGTAATCCCATTGCTCACTGCTATAGATTGAATAGACATTGTTCCCTCCAGAATTCAGACTGAAACTTCATCCTCAGTGTAAAAATGCTAAAAGGTGGGGCCCTTGAGTTTAAGGGCTCTATCCTCATGAATAGAACTGATATCTTTATAAAAAAGGGGGTGGAGTTCAAATATGGAAGGCACTCTCTTTTGCCTCTCCATCCTTTCTGCTACTTGAAGACACGGGTCTGGAGGATGAAGCAACCAGTTGCTTTCTAGGAAGTAGAGATCAGTTCTCATCAGCCACTGACCCTGCTGACACCTTGCCCTTGAACTTCCAAACCTTCAGAACTATGAGAAACAAATTTCCATTACTCGGGAATTATTCACTTTGTGGCATTCTGTTACAGTAGCACAGATACTTACTAAGTCCTTTTCTATGTTTTTTGGAAAAATAATGATTTATATTATTGTTATTTGAATTTAATGAGAAACTTTATAATCCATGATTTGAATAATATGTTGAGAAAGTTTTTCTTTTTAATTATGAAGCTGTTGGCCTTGCTTGTTTCTTACTGGCTAGCTCTGACTTAAGTATTACCCCATAATTGTTAATCTAAGTATGTTTCTTACCGGAGAATAGTTCCAGGCTTCCTACCCCCTTGGCGTTACATGTTGACTCTCTGTGTTTCTCCTTCCCAGAATCCTCTTGGACTCCTAGTCCCTCCTATCTAGATTCCCCATTGGCCAGACAGTACTTTATTGACAAATGCACAGGACTTCCCCATATGTTGAGAAAGTTTTAAAATTATGTTTTCCTTTTATTGAAAATAGATTTTTCTCACATAATATATCCTGATTATGGTTTCCTCTCCCTATGTGTCTCCCAGTTCCTCCCCACCTCTTCTCCCATCCAAATGCATTCCCTCTCTGTTTCTAATTAGCAAATAAACAGGCTCCTGAGAGATAATAATAAAATAAATAAGACAAAACAAAAACCAACACATAAAAATTGGACAAAACACAGTATGTTTCCAATTCTTTTCATGATCCAGTACTTTTGGTTTCTTAGGATGTTAGTTTTACCTCATACTTCTGGTGGCTTGGTGGGGGTGATTCAGGAAGTTCTGGAAAGATCAGTGCAGAGAATTAACATACCTGCATATATAAGATTGTCTCTGTTCTCAAGAGCGCTGTAGTGGAGGAGGCAGATCCAGGATGCAGGGAGAGTCTTCACTGTAGATCCCCAATGTAATTGCCATTTAACTTCCTTCCTTTGAGGATGTTACAATAGTCCGTGTGTTTCACTGTCCCAGCAAATTTCAGTTTCTTTTTTCCAAATGAAGGACAAAATTTCAGATCTGACATCTTGGTTATTTGACTTTCATTCTAGAAAGAGAATGTACCAAACTGCCATATACTAAAAATACATGGAAAAGTGAAAATAAACTAAATATTGGTTAATATAAAAATTTGGACAAAACAAACAGAAGAACAGCCCAAGAGAAGGCACAAGAAGCAAAAATCTACTCTTTTACACACACAGTAATGCCATAAAAACACTAAGCTGGAAGCCATAATATATGCAAAGAACCTGGTGTAGACCTGTGCAGGTCCTGTGAATGCTGCCCCCATGAGTTCATATGAGCTTTGATCATGTGGGTTTAGAGGGCCTGCTTTTCTTTGTGTCCTTCATCGCCTCTGGCTCTTAGACTCTTTTGTTCTTTGAGCCCAGAGGGGAGGGATTTGAATGAGACATCATCCCATTTAGGGCTGAGTGTTCCAAGGTCTCTCACTCTCTGTGTAATGTCTGGTTCTGGGTCTCTGTATTTGTTCCCATCTGCTGCATAAGGAAGCAATGCACTGATTTATGAGTATAGCAGAACATCATTTTATTGCTATGTTTTTTGTTTTGCTTTTTTTTAAAGAACAGCAGTATTTGGTTTTACCAGAGACCCTTTGGCTATCTAGCCTCAGGCTCTTGGTCACCCAAGTAGTGTCCAGTATGGGCTCCATCTTGTGGAGTGGCATTAAGTCAAATCAGATATCGGTTGGTTACTCCCATAGACTTTGTGTCACCATTATCCTAGCGTATCTTGCAGGTAACACACCATTGCACATCAGAGGGTTGGTGGTTGGGTTGGTATTTACCTTTCTCTTTTGGTAGCCTTCAGAGTTGCTTCCTGTATCAAAGATGGTAGAATACTGAGTCCTTTTCTTAGCATTCCTTCATCTACCTCAGTCTTCGAAGGAGGGAGGCCCCTTGAGGCCACTCCATATGTGCACAATGCCGAGGAAACTGTGGGACAAGAAGGTTTTAGCAGAACCAACTTCCTGGGTCATGAGCACTTTGAAGAGGCCCCGAGGGCTGGATAGAGTGGAAAAGCAACCTCTGAAGACTCACCTTAAGTATGGTTAAAAAGGGACTTGGAGGTTGGCTCATTAAGCGCCTGTGGGAAACCCAGTGCTTGGGTATGGATAAGGAGGGTGTCCAGAACTCACTTGGCAACCAGTGTAGCCAATAGGTAGTTTCCAGATTCAGTGAAAGGCTCTGTCTCAAAAACTAAGGTGGGGGCCATAGAGGAAAACACCAAATGCCAACCTCTGGTGTCCACATACACACATGTGCATGTGTATACGTACATCCATAGTACACACATACACAGACACACATATATTACATATGAATACACATACACATACAATTAAAGACAATTAATTAAAAGGGGAGAAATACTAGCAAAATTCTTAGTTGCAATAAAAGGCACAGACCTATTCCTCTGGTGAGTTGTAGCACAAAATATGAGCTTTTCTTAAAGGTTCCAATTGCTGTAAACATTCCCATTGCCTCCTTACCATAACACCTCCAAAAGAGGGCACCAGTGGTCAGAGTTGCTTGTACAGCAGATATGAGAGTGTTTTGTGCAGCTCCTTCACTTGCTAGACACATACCTCAGTTTTGTTCTTTAAACCAAGAGTTGGGACTGAAGCCTTAGTCATCTTTCTTAAGGAAGGTCAGACACAGAGGGATATGATAGATGTCCCTCTGTGTCTGGCCAGTGATCCCTGGGTATCACAGATTCTTGCACCCTGTGCCATTTTTAAGTGGGAGCTGAATATCCTCTATCCAGAGGTAATAGCCAGTAACCAGCAGGCTTGGGAGTTTTCCTAAGGAAGCACCATGGCCCCTTCAAATGTCAGCTACGCTCTGAGCTGGGTGTTCCTTCTTTCATTGGCTGTCGGTTTTTTTGATAGTCTTCATATGAAACCCTCATTATCTAAAATGCTGGGAAATCCCAGCATTCCCCATCCCTATCCTCAAACCACTAGCTTCTGGAAGCTGTGTGAGTAGTGGGTGAGAAGGAGATGTCTAAAGGAAGCTGTGAGCAGTCAGACAAAGGTGCTGAGCTCTCGTGTCTAAAGAAAACGAAGGGCTGCAAAGTGGTGCCTGGCACCATCGGCCCTCTCTGCTTTCTACCAGGGCCTGTCAGAAATGTGGCTCACGTGTGTGCTTCTCAAAGTCGGCCTGGCAGTGAGCCTGCACTCAGTAGGTAGGGAGTTAATGAGCTTTTCAGGCTTCACTGTGTCCTGCAGTTTGGGTGTGATTGCCTACTGAGACCAGCATTGAGTGAAAACTCCACTCTTCCAGATGCTCAGGGAAAACCTGGAAGTCATCCAGGTCAAACCTTCTGTACTCAAAGCACACTCGGAGCCTCAGCATGCCTTATCCACTTCACGTGGATGACTCCAGAAGCCCATTAGCTGGCCTTGCTCTTCCACTCTAATCCATTAGGGAACATGGACTCTAGGAACATCTAGATTTCGTCTCTGCTCAGCTTCTGATTTCACTCAAGTACCTATCACTGTTTACAAGGAACTGGCAGCTTCACTGCCCCATCTCTGACTACAAGTACGTCACTCCCTACCTCTCGTGCCATCTGCTTTGACAATCGTGGCCCCTTCGCCACTCATGAGCATGACAACATCATTCCCACCTCAGTTCCCCTGATAGGTGCAATGCTTGCTTCCTCCCCTACTTAGAGATTCTTACTAATACTCCAGTGTAGACTGCCTTTTGTGAATGCAGCATGCATTCCCTTGCCTGACCCAATGATTGTCACTGGTATTTCCATACTTTACCACCATCCGATGTACTGCTTAATTTGCATATTTATGTTTATTATTTCTCTCCCCAACTATAGCCAAAGTCCCAGGAGGACAGGGGTTTCTGGCAAGTTTGCTCTTTGCTGTTCCTTCAGCCCCTAAAGCACAGTGGCTGACGTGTGGCACATACTCAGTGACTAAATGCTGAATGCATTCTTCTGCCTAGCTGGCTGGAAACTCTGCCACCTGGGCAGATCTCCAACAAGGGGCTAGAAGTCTAACAGAAAAGTACTGTACCCCATGGACACAGTGCCTGGGGCATCAGGAGTATCAGTATTTGTTCAATGACCAAACATGGCAGGAAGTTGGTCAGAACACATAAAGGGACCAAATGCTGAGTTTTCCCACTTGAAAAATGTTTGTATTTCAAAAGTAAACCTGTAAGAGTGGAAATCCAGGATGTGTGGCAGGTTCAAGGAGCCGTTCTCTAGAACTACTGAAGTCTTTGGAGTCATGATCCAACCTTCATGCTCATATCCTTTACTTCAAGTTCATTTGCCCAATGCTTACTTATTAAGTACTTGTTGCATGCTAGGTTCTGTGATGACTGCCTGGCCTCTTCCCCCAAGAAAACCCAACCAAATCCTCATCTTATGTAGCTTCTGCAACTTCTCTATTTTATAACTTTGAATGTCAAAGCCAAACAGAAGTGTTGTGGGATATTTGTACACTGAGTGATGATGTGTTGCTGTGATTGGTATAATAAAAAAAAAACTGAAAGGCCAATAGCTAGGCAGGAAAGTATAGGTGGAACTTGTGGGTAGAGAGGGCTCTGGGAAGAAAGGAGTTGCCAGCCAGACGCATAGAAAGCAGGATGAGTCGTATAGAGATGAGGTAACAAGCCAGGCAGAAGAATTCAGATTTAAAAATATGGGCTAATTTAAGTTATAAGAAGTAGTTAGGAACAAGCCTAAGCTTTCATAATTAATGATAAGTCACCATGTCATTATTTGCAGGCCGGTGGTCCCGATGTGAAAGTACTACTTCATATGCTACCCAACGTCTGTGTATATTCACATTAGGCCTGAGCAAGCAGCTTCTTGGTGACAGTGGTCTCTCAGATAGGCTTGGCCACAGAGGCACTGCTCTTTTAAGAGGCCCCGCTGTGCAGCTGAGCACTTGAGCAGCCTGCACTGGGTACAAATGCCTGCCACCGGCAAACACAAGAAATTCCCAGAGCTGGGGTGAGTAAATGATGTTCAGGGGATGGGACCCACCAACATGAGGCTAGGCTCTCACAGAACCAAGGGGGTGGAGCCAGCTGCCAAAGCCATATGCTGCTAAGTGGAGCCCTGACGTCGTAGCCTAGCAGTTTCAGATTTGGATGCAGGTGAGCAGAAAGTTAGGGACAGACTGAGAAAAACCTCTGAACAGATGTACTATGTTTAACATGTGTTTAGATGCTGAATAAAAGAAAATGGGTATAGACAGTCATAAAAAAATAATTTAAGAATAACAAAATAAAGTCTTTAGCCAGGCAGTGGTGGCATACACCTTTAATCCCAGCACTGGGGAGGCAGAGACAGGAGGATTTCTATGCGTTCGAATGCAGCCTGGTCTACAAGAGCTAGTTCCAGGTCAGCCTCCAAAGCCACAGAGAAACCCTGTCTCGAAAAATCAAACCAAACAAAACAAAGTCTTTAAAGAAAGAGTAAAGTATTATAAGGGTAAAAAGCCATGTAAAGATGGGAAATACACAGGTTGTCTGGATCCTGTATGGTGCTTCATTAACTTGGAATTCTTTAAATGCTGATGAGTGAATGGCAGCTGCTGAGAGTCATTGGATTGTGGAAGGAACTGCTGAATAAAACCATTCTATATACTTTAGGGATATCTTGGCTTCAGAATGGAAGTCAGGTAATGTGTTGTGTTGGCAGAGAGGTTGTACTTTTGTTTCCACCAGAAATGAAAAGCTATGGATTCCTTCAAAGTTAATAAAGATCAGATTTGATCAGGAGAGACCTCCTGAGGATCTTGGCTACAAACATGAGGGGAAAAGTCAAGAAAATCTACAAGACAGGTGGTGTATATGCTGACCCCTCTATGTGGGAACAGCTTTGAGACTGGATGAGGCATGATAAATCTTGTTGGCTACAGAGTTCTCATGACAGTTTGGTTACACAGTTCAAACAGATTTATAAAGTTGATAGATGTCTTTCACCTGCGCAAATATAGAACAGAGAATCATCTTTTTGTTGTTGTTGTTGTTTGTTTTGTTTTGTTTGAGACAGGGTGGCTTTGGAGGCTCTCCTGGAACTAGCTCTTGTAAACCAGGCTGGTCTCGAACTCACTGAGTTACACCTGCCTTTGCCTCCTGAGTGCTGAGATTAAAGGCGGGCAGCACCACCGCCTGGCCAGAGAATCACCTTTATTTTTGCATATTGCACATTCCATACTTGTGTTAATGTAAATATGTATGTTACCTTTAAAATTTTGTGTGTTTTCAGAAAAAAAGTGGCCAAATGGAAACAGGTAACCCAGATGATCCAGCCTCTCAGAATGCCTCTGATGCAGTTTCCTCAAAATTCTGCATCCAGAACAACTTCAAAGCTGTTAGTTGAAATGGTCCAGCCGCACAGACTACTCCAGCCAGGACTTCAGATAAGTTCCGCACTTTCCCATCACACAAAGACTGAACAACAAATGATACAACTAGCTCTCTCAGGACTTGAGCATCGTCCCGATTTTCTTAGGGTTACCTAAGGATGCATTCACCCTCAAACAACAGGAAGTGGTCTAGAGAACATGACACCCACAGTCCCAAGAGGTGGGGTGAGTGGGTTTTGACCATTTGGTGGATTATAAATGTTTAAAATTATTTAGGGGTGTTTGTTTGCAAGTTGTTGTTGTTCATGTCAGGGAGATGCCATGGAGAAACTGTAGAGGTTTGATACATGGTACAGAATAGAGGTACTCGAACAACATGGCAGAATGTAGATTAATAAAAGCAGGTTAGTTTGAGCTATGAGTCAGTGGGATTTGCCTAAGCTAAGGCCAAGCTTTAATAATTAATAAGAAGCCTTCATCTCAATATTTGGTGGATGACAACAAAGATAGTCTGACAAGAAAACATAGCTACAGAGAAGGAAACATACCCAGAAATGAGACATGCATCACCAAGAGCCAGGACATGCCTCTGACTCATGCGGAAATGGGTGAGTCCCAAGGCCTTTCCTTCCCAGTTTGTCCCCAAAGAGGTACTGACAATAGCTCAAAGAAATGGCCTGATTACTCCACATGCTACTCAAGGCCCAAATATGGGCCACCTTCCTGGGAGTCATCCTCCTGAGTTGTATAGTGAGTATTCCTCAATGAGTATCCTGTCCTGTTGTGCTTCCTTGCTGTGGTGTGGGAGCCTTGAGTATCATGTAATAGACAGTGCTTTATGTTAAGTCCATCAAACAAGTATGGAAAGTTTAAACCACAAAAGTGATTTACAAGTCAGAGATAAGTGCAAGGCACAAGGTGAACATACTTTAGTCCTACCTGGACAGTGGAAGGTGGGTAGTGTGTGGGTTTCTTAGAAGAAGCACAGCCTTAGAGTCCTGCCAATCCTTAGTGAGGCAATAGGGAGAGGCTAGGAAGGGATTCGAGTTGCAGGCAATATGGATGAATGTGATGGGCTGGAGAGCCTTGCAGATGCTGGCTTTCACGCTGCATTCTGGATGCTGTGTTCTCATGGAAAGATGGATTGAAAAGAAGACTGGTATCAAACAAGTGGGGCAACAGGCTTGCCTTAGACGCCTCTTCTTGGTGAGCCCAGGACACCTTAACACAGCTAAGATGTTGGTTTGTTCTGCGATCAAAATGTTTTATTTACTTTAGGGGACCGGCGGGGTTCAAGAGTCTCCCTAATATATTTGTCATGTTGTCTTTAGATCATAGTGAGCATCTCAGATCACATAGGAAATTTTGTCCCAGGTACCTAGCAAAGGGTTTTAGATAGGGGGTGATATCCATGGGCTAGTGTTTCAGAAGGCTCTCTCTGGACCAATATGGGGTGGAGACAAAGAAGGGGAAGAAGAGTCACAGGAGAATCAGGAGAGATGACTGTCAGTGTACAGGAGCAAGAGAAGCAAAAGTCCTACCCACAGCAGTGGAGTTAGGGCCTGTCTTATCCTTGAAACAGGTCCTGCCAATATACCATGCCAGTATCCTAGTGCTGAGTCTCCTTAGTCCACCAAGTCCCACCCTGGGCTTGGTCCCATTCCATTCTCCTCACTCGATCTCTTCCAGGCTACATGAGACAACTGTGCGGGGCTGGGGGGGGCTGCATTTCTGGCCTTGTTCCAATCTGAAACCTTAAAAGGATGGGGTCCCATGAAACCCACAGCCTACAATCGATTTCCTCCTAAATGGGGCTTCAAGCCTTCTCTTTTATGAAGCTTTTGATGACTTCCCATTAGAGGGAATTTGCTGGGAAGACTGGCTGGTTGCAAGACAGCACTGAGATGATGAGACGGGAAAGGTGCCTGGACTAGAATGAAAGGCAAATAGTGACTTTTGCTCCAGTGCATTAGCCTCATTTCCTTGCCACAATGAAGTGGAGAGTCAAGTTCTAGGGTGACACCTCTCTGCCAGACTTATTTCTATAGGCAAGGCTGACAGATATGTCTCTCCACGTACATACATGGTGTATGCTGAACAAAATCTCACAGGCACACAGCAGAGATCTGAGCTGTTCCAAATGCTCATAAAAGGGAGTGATGGCTCCCTCATGTGCTTGGAAGCAAGCACATGAAGTAGCGCGCACATACACACACACACACACACACACAGAGAGAGAGAGAGAGAGAGAGAGAGAGAGAGAGAGAGAGAGAGAGAGAGCACATGGCATTTTGACCTGACTGCTTTGATGCATCCATTTAGACACAAGGAACATTGTGTTCTGACGGCTTTGATGAGATGGCTTTCACACAAAGAGATTTTTATAAGGCCTAAAATTAAACCATTAAAGTTTCAGCTTCAAAACGAGCATTATTATCCAGCACTATTTGAAAAGGACATTTCCATCTTGCCACTTAACCTCACTCTGTTGATGACCTTAGCACTGATAGGCCTTAATGGAGGGATTTGGGAATCAGCAGGCCTGTTTGGGGCTGCCAGAAGAGCACATCATCTGACAATAAAAATAAGGCCATCTTGTGAGTGTTCAGTGTTGGCAGAATGGTCCCCAAAGTGTTCTTGGTGTCACAATGTACTACAGATGGCCATGCAAGGATATGCAAACCACACCAACATGTGTCCACACAGCAGCACAGGAAAACCCCGGGCACTGAGACAAGCATGTTCCCACACGGACATATAGGTCTACAGCCCTTTAGCATCTGGTTGACTGGTGGAATGGCCTTGCCTTGTGCGAATGAAGAGTCAGCCACTGCTGGAGTCCAGCTGAGAGGAGGGCACGGGAGTCATGAGGTGAGGGCAGGGGCGGAGCTCATCACACGAGGCAGGAAGAGGTGCTTACCTAAATGGTGCTGGGGCCCATTATGCCCAGAACCCAAATGCAGCAAGGAGAGCGAGTGCTGCATCTTGGGTACCCAGCTACTCATCACTCTGTGACCCTCATCCGGAGCTGAATCACAAGTGTCATCAGCGTCATGAATAGAAGCAAAAGGGCACTTATGTGGCAAGGTAATAGGCCTCGTGGCTCTGCTCTGCATACCTGTTGCAGGCCCCCGGGACTGTCTCTCCTTGGATACTTGTCCTATATGGGAAAGAGGTAGCCTTTGGGGTAGGAGTCTTGGCTCTGAGCTCAACTCTGAAGGATGTTGGCTGCTGGAACAAGAGCAGAAGGAGACAAGAGGACAGCAGTCCACAGACATCAATGAGGTAATGATCCAAACCTGCCTTCTAGATAGGAATGCAGGGCTTGGGGCTGGGTTTGGCATTCTCTTATTAACAATAGGCTGGCCAGATGTGTGGGGAGGGTACTTGTTCCTGCCTGAGCTCAAGACCTTTCCACAGCCCCTCTCCTTTCCAGGTACCCAGGACCCACAGGCCAAGCTGCCTTGCAGCTGGGGAAATGAGTCTAGTAGGGTACACTCTGTCTCTCCCTTCTCTGCATCTCAATACACACAGAAGCATAGTACTGGTCCAACTTGAACCTTCTCTCCTTCTCGGGGGAATGTAGCACTGCCCCTGATTCTTTGTTGATGGTACTTTCCAACTCTTGATTGACCACTGACCATCTCAGTTTCTTCTCTTCAGAGATGTTGGTAGCTCCTTCTCTTCAGCCATCTGCCTCAGCCCACAAACCATGCAGGGCCCAGGTACTCACAGACCTGCCTTATGGTCTGAAACCTGAGGGGCAGTTCTGGGGCACTGGATAGAGCAGTCATGGCTACGTCCCCAGTGTTGCATCCAGAGTGTGAGAAGCATAGCTCTCCCAGGCCACGGAACAGCACAGATGTAGAAGTCAGAGGGTGGTTCCCAGGCCTCCTTCCTGCCCCTACTGATGATTACCAGTGGGCCATATTTGAAGGCATTTGCCGCACCTCTGATAAATGAGCTCCCACAAAAAGAAAGGAGGGAGGGAGGATACCTCCCCCGTCCTCGGGCAGATCGACCCTCTCTATTTGTCTTTTGCAATTCTCACTGTCAGCAAATTCATCCTGATGTCTTAACCAACGTGTCCATGTGATCAATTGCACATCTGGGAAGTATTCCTCACTGCCACCCTCATCTCCAGTACAAATTAAGTCGGGCTCCTCTTGTGGGGCCTTGAGGACAGATGGTAGGGTTAAGTAAACAGAGAATTGAAAATGAGCTCTGTGGAGGCACCTAGATGAGAAGGGAAGCTTGAAAGTAAGAGCTGGGTGATCTGGCATGATTAACACTATGCTACTTCCTCATGAGTTGTTGGTCATGGAGATCCCAGGGGCACCCCCCCCCAACAATAGTTTGTCTTGTAATGTTATTCCTCTTAGTTGCCCAATAGAACTAGATGATTGGACCCTGTTGTTGAAGACATCATAAAATTTGGTATTTGACAAAAGGCAGAAGAAAACACTCAGGCTGAAAGGGCAAGAAGATGAGGGGGACCCACAAACCTTGCTGACTGTTAAACAAATAATCTCTCTTTATTCAGAAACATCCATGAAAGAAATCTTGGCAATTAGAAGATAATAGCAGTCTTGCAAAAGGTAAGTAAGCTGTCTAAAAATATTTTCCATACACAGACTTGTGAGTCAAACAGCTGAACTACCAGGTGCATTCATAGCTGAGCAAATCTGTTCTCTGAAGGGGTGAGGGTGCTAGGCAGACTTGATGTGAATAAGAGGGTCAAAACCACCTGACAAACTCAAAGTTGAACCACTCCTGGGAGTTGGAGCTTGAAGACATCTGGACCCAAGTCCTTGGGAGACGATTATTTGATTCTGTGTTCCAATTCTGCTGGGCCACTCTCCTTATTGTAATCACAGGAACCTGAGACCCTGAGGACAAGAAACCCCAGCCCACAGCCACCTGCTAAGACAGGTGGAAAGCCTGGATGTCAGTGTTCCAGACCTCCTCTAGCTTCAAGGATTTTGCTCTGCTAGGAAACAAAAAGAAAAAATAGGAGGGGGAGGAAGATTTTTGCCTTTTGATGAAAAGGTGGAGGTAGAGAGGGGGAAGTGTGTATTTGCCCTGAGTGCACCATTGTCACATGGCTGACTGCAACAGTCCAGCGAGATAAGAGGTCAGGCGTTGTTGATCTTATCTCTGTAGACTTATATCCTGCAGCCAGAAGTAGCAGAGCAAGGCAGTGATCAGATCAGAATCTGACCCCCTCATTCTACACCCTGAAACTGCCAAAGCAGCAAAGGTCTTAGGCCTTGGAGGAAGTGTGTGGCTTGACATATGCATCAGGAGCTTCAGAATAACAGAACAAATAGGACAAACAGATAGGAAGAAGGGCATTTGTAGAAGGAATTGGCTTGTGTGATTACAGAGGCTGAGACGACTCAAGTTCTGTAGTTGCCATTTGGAAGCATAGGTCATGTAAACTCTGATCCTGGTACAAAGGATTAAGACCTGGGAGAGCCAGCAGTGTGAGCCACCAGCTAAAAGCCAGCAAACTGAAGACCAAAGAGAAACTTGTATTTCTGTTCACATTCAAAGGCTGTAGAAGGCTCAGCTCCACAATCCAGCTGGAAGCACTCTCTTTGTCCCAGGAGCCTGGTGGCTATCCAGGCTTCCTCCAGATTGGATGAGGGTAGTGTGTGCTGCTCAGTTTACTAATGCATATTAGTCTCATCCAAAACTGCTGTCCTCCACACGCTAGAATAACACTTGACCAAGTATCTGAAACCTCACAGCTCAGATGTGTCACTGCAGACAGCTTCTGGAGTGAGAATGGAGGAGCCCACCTGGGGAAGAGAGAATAGGGATAGATTTTTCAGTCCGCAGGCCAAGTGCCCAGAAGCAAATAAGTGACTGTGCTTTTAAAGCCAGGAGCTCAATATGTTGGTATGCATGGAGCAGAGTGGCCACCAGAAGCTCCCAGAGTGGCTGGGCTAGAAAATGATAGGAATGGGTATTTTAGATGCACCACAATGCTCATCAGTCCCAGATGGCATAGTCCTTCTGACCTTTGCAACTTGGAGAGGGAAATTGGTCCATTGAACAGGGATGATAGGAGCCCCATACCTGATCCTTAGAGCCTTACTGATTCTAAGTTCTGTCCAAGGGAAACAAAGACTGTGGGAAGATGGGGGGTATTATACTTATTTCTCAAGGCTGCTGAAACAAGTAACCTCCATTTAGGCCACTGAACTCAACTGGGATTTATTTCCTGAAGGTCATAAAACAGAAAAAAAAGTATTGACAGGGCTCCAAGCCTTCCTGAGGACCTGAGAAGAGCTTGTTCCATGTCCCTTTCATGGCCTCTAGTGACCTTCTCTGTGGCAGGTGTGAGGAGTGGAGGATGATCTGTAGACACAAGTCCCAGGCCATATAAGCCCCGGGTCCTATATAATGGAGGTAGCAGAGGTCAGTTCCTTGCTCTGGATTGCGGTGTGTTAGTGTCTAGGGTTATGTCCAGTTTAGATATGGAGGGACTGAGACACAGAAAGCTGAGTAAATTTGCTCAACTCTTCAGCTACAGAGCAATAGAACCAGGAAGCGCACACAGATGCTAAAGTTCCGGAGTGTGATTGCTTCAGTACTTTCCCAAATCAAACACCTGACACCTGATGCAGCCTGATAAGGGCACCCCAACAAAGGAGTGAATTCCTGTTAAGTGTAAGATAAAGTTTCTTCCCCAATGTCTTGTGGTCTTGTGCAGGGAGACAGATGATAAACCAATAAACAAGAAAAAAAACAAATAATATACTAAGTTATTAGAGAGGCTTTGCAAAGCAGAACATATGCTGACAGTAACCATTATGACTTTTTATTTCCACTGTGTATGGTCATGTGTTTTGTTGGATATGTGGGGTAGACTGTAATGTTTTGATTATGTTGATATTTTAAGCAGTAGAGATATCCTTATGGTGTGTACTTTTAAACAAAATGGAATATTTTGTCATTCAAGTTTCCCAAAGCTGTCTGAAAAATCATCTTTGTGTAATTAGACCTTTCTCATTTTCAACCTCAACTGTTGTATGTTAAGTCTACTTAAATAGTGTGGAGACGAGATGGGAACAAACAAAGAAAAAGGAAGAGGAGGGAGAAAATGGAGAAAGGAAATGACGAAGAAGAACAAGGGGGAAGAAAGGAAGTACTCCCTGCCCATGTCTGCCAATAGGCCATTCGTGTGTCGTAACAGGTGAGGAATTTGAGGCTCTGAGGATCAAGGAGTATGAAAGACCCAGGGTTTCCTTGAAGGTCAGCATGTCTATGAGATGCGGCTTGAAAGACTGAGGGGAAAAAATCAAACTTTGTCCTTCAATGCCCAGACTGGCACAGTGAAGACTAGTTAAGGACACATGTGATGTGTCAGAGTCAGTAGCTTTGGATTCTGGTCCCGGCTCTTGTACTCACTGGATATCTGTGGATAAATTGCTAGACTTCCAGAGCTCCAGTTGACAAATGGAACTGCTAAGCTCTGACCTGTTTCCTCCCAGGTTATGATGAAGCTGACAGAAGATGCATATGAGAAGAGCCTTTGATCTCAACATCCCTCCGGATGCTTAGCAAATATACAGCTGTCCAGGCTAGTGAGCTGGTGAGCACGAGGCAGAGCACAGGTAATTGCAACCATCAGTAATGTCAGGGAAACACTGGATCAGTGGTCTTCAAGCCTGGCACCATATCAGAATCACCCTGGGAGCTCTGAAAACTCCATGTGTCCAATGACCTCAGTTTCTGGGGGCGACACTCAGACATCTATATTAAAAAGGACTCATCCATCATTGGAGAAGTTGAAATGGGAGGCTCTTGCATTCAAGGCCAGCTTGAGCTGCATATTGAGGACTTGGATTACAAACACAATGAATAGAGGAAGGAAGAAAGGAAAGGATGGAGGGAAGAAGGAAGAAAAGAAGGAAGGGAGGGAGGAAGGAAGGAAAAGTTCCAAGTGATTCCAGTGTTCAGACATGGATAAGAGTCACTCCCCTAAATTCTCAGACATAGAGGTTGCCTCTAATGCGGAGGAGAGGGCACCAGTGGGAAGGGCTCGCACAGAAGGCAGTGTTGAAGGGAAGCCTGCATGAGTCTTAGAGTCAACTGATCTCCAGTCTTATTTCCCACTTGCTAGTACCATGGGCTTGTTTACAGCATCTCTCTCTTGTAGAACCACCAGGTTTTTTTTTAGCCTGTACTAATTGCACAAACTTGTGGAATTCATTGTGACATTTTTATACGTGAACTCTGGTCATACCGCCCCCTCATACTGTCCCCACTCCCTTCCCACTAATTTTCTTCCTCCTCCCAAATAGTATCCATTGTATTTTTACTTCTCTTTTTATGGCCTAGATTCTGCATATAAAAGAAAACATGAGATATCTGTCTTTCCAAGTCTGGAGTATTTTGTTTATATTATGATCTCTAATCCCATCCATTTTACCGGTAAAGTGACACAATTCTGTTCTCTAGAGCTAAATAAAACTTGCCCTTCACACACACATGCATCTTGGTTGATTTGATATCTTGGATACTATGAATAACTCACAATAAACACATATAACCAGTTATATGTTGGGGTAACTAACTCTGGCAGCTGGCTTAGAATCCTTCCTTCCTTCCTTCCTTCCTTCCTTCCTTCCTTCCTTCCTTCCTTCCTTAATACACACATCCATATAGCACCAACAATCAGAGCCATCAAGTCTACTTTTTTCAAAAATACATTTTAATTATCATTTTGTGTGTATGGTATTATTGGAGGCATATAGAGGTCAGAGGCCAACTTTGTGGAGTCAATGCTTTCCTTTCACTCTTTCATTTTTACTGCATTCAGGGGATCCAACTCAGGTTTGTGGAAAGTGCCTTTATCTGCTGAGCATTTCACTGTAAAACCTTCAAGTTGTAAAAGGTTCAGTGGTGCATGAACTGGGAAGATAATTGACAGTACGGTTAGCCCTGCAGAGTTCCACCATGTACTCTGAAAAGCACCTTAGCTACAGTCAGGCACAGTAAGTCTAAGTGAAGCATCAGATCAACCTTAAAGGGTTGTTTCTGTGAGGATACAACTATTTTTCACTGCTGAAAATCCCTCTAGCTCTTAAGAAGGGGAAAGCATGTAGCCTGTACATCTAATTACTCCCTTACCTCCAGGAGGGAGGGAGTCACAGTCAGAATGAATACAAGAGATAATCATGCTAGTGGCTCCTTGAGTTTGTCCTTGATTTTGTAAGAAACAAGAAATGAAATGATGTGCTTATGATTAACAAAAAAGATGGAGGAGACAATTTCTGGGTTTCTCTAGCCCCACATAATCTTCCCATCAATCCCAGTGGCAACTTCACTGTTGGCAACTTCACTCTCCAGATGAGGCAACGGAGACTCAAACAGGTGGCAAGCTTTATCTGTCACACAGCTAGAACAGGAGCACCACATGCAAAAACCAACCAGGCTCGATGAGTTAATAAATCACAGGTGTTTCTTCAGCAAATGTTTCAGGAAGACAATGACCACAGGCAGAGAAAGAAATAGAATCACTACCTCACTCCGGATTTAAAAAAATGAACTTAAAATTATGTGAACAGATGGCACAACCCCTCTGTTGTATAGACCACTTTGTGTGAAGGTTTTTATTGTAGATATAAGGAAAGGACTAGCCAGAGGCATCTATAAGTATCCAGAGTAGAGAGAGAAAGAAGCAGACTGAACATGGCCAGCAGACTGACCTGGGCAGAGCTATTGTGAGAGAGGGGAGAACTATACGGGATATAGAATAGAGAAAGTACAGTAAGAGAAGCAGGGATGTAGGGAGAGATCTGGGAGAGAGAATAGCGGGGTTATAAGGAGAATGAGTAGATGAAGGGAGAGAAGCTTGTGAGCTGGAAGGAGTTAAGGGAGGAGATGAGACGGGCTAAGATGGACTTTGAAATGTGTAACAAGTACTTGCGATACTGAGGGAACCTGGAGGTAGGCATCACTTTGGTATGCTAATAGGCAATATTTGTCGTTGTGATAAGGGAAATGATTCCTTTTGGTAGAGGAGAACAGACTTCACAAGTTCCATCAGAAATTCTCAATAGTCCAGGTTGAACCCATTTCTGGATATTTAGACTGTCTTTTGGAGTTTGGAAACTGGACCTAACAAAACTGAGCTCGAAAATGTAAATATCAGAGCCGTAATCATTAGCAGCAAACAACAGTAAAGTTTCATGATTTCAGATTTGGTAAGTAATTTTTCTTTTCTTCTGAGATGGGAACTTCTGTCTCAGAAAGCTGACCAGTTTAAAGCTCTGGTTGACCTAGAAAAACTGTCCTCCCTGTCTCAGTCTCTAAAGTACTGGGATTAGAGGTATGTACCACCACACCTGCCCTGATTTTAAAAAGTTACATTTAAAACTAGAAATCATGAACAACCAAAGGAAAAATATAAATTTGAGTTCATTATACTTTTACATTCTTGTGCTTTAAAACACAGTATAAGGTAACAACCTACAAATTGGAAAAATATCTATGATTTATATATCTGATAAAGACATTGATAAGAACAAAGGAAAAAATTTTACATCAAACAACTCAGTTCAAATCTACACAAATGATGTGAATAGACATTTCTTAAAAGAAAATATACAAATAGCTAACAAATACGTGAAAAGATGCTCAATATAATTAATCATTAAGGAGACACAAAAAAGCATAAGGAGATACAACTTTATACTCACTCTGATGACTATAAAAATGGATAATGTGGAGAAATAGGAGATTTACATACTCCTGGTGAGAATTCAAAGTGGTGCAATCACTGCAGAAAACACCTTGATAGTTTCTTGAACTGCTAAACACAGATTATTTGTGTTTAAACCCAGAATTTTACTTCTAGGCTAAAAACTTAAAGCAGACACTCAAATAGCAGGTCACAAATGTTCGTAGTGGCATTATTCACAAAAGAGGCAAAAGGTAGGAATAAATCAATACATAAATAAATACATGCTATCACGTGGGTGAAGCACAAAAAAACAGTAAGCTCAGTGACAGAGGCCAAACACAATCTCATATATGTTGTGGAATATAAGTTAAAGATGTGTTACATGTGTTTATGCTGTGGAATATTTGTTTAATGATTCAAAGATGTGTTGCATTCTTTTATGTTGCATTCGTTTAACTCTGTGATGCTGTGTTACCGTGCCTGCCTAAAACACCTGATTGGTCTAATAGCTGAATAGCCAACAGCTAGGCAGGAGAGGGATAGGCAGGGCTGCCAGACAGAGAATAAATAGGATGAGAAAATGAGAAGAGTGAGGAGATGGAAAAATCAGAAGAAGAGGACACCAGGGGCCACCCACACAGCTACACAGCCACACAGCCACACAGCCACACAGCCACACAGCCACACAGCCACACAGCCACACAGCCACACAGCCAGTCACAGAGTAAGAAGGGAAAACAGAAATATATAATAGAGAAAGGTAAAAGCTAAGAGGCAAAATATAGACTGGAAATTTTAAGTTAAGAAAAGCTGACTAGAAAGAAGCTAAGCTTGGGTAGTAGTGTCTGTGAAAGGATGGATAAGTGAATGAATGGATTGATGGGTGGAATAGTAGGTAGAAGGCTGCATGGACAAGTGGGTAGATGGATGTGTGGAAGGGTGGATGATTAGATGGACAGACAAGTGGATGGGTAGGTCGATGGATAGTTGGATTACCGAGTGGTTGAGTAAATGTATGGGTGGGTAAATGAACAGCTGAATGGGTGGTTGGATGGGTGGATGTGTGTGTGGATGGACACACAGGCAGATGGATGGATGGATTGATGGATGGATGGATGGATGGATGGGTGGGTGAATGAGTGTGTGTGTGTGTGGATGAATGGATGGATGATGATTGAATGGATGGTGTCTTAGTTAGGGTTGCTATTCCTGTGCTGAAACACCATGACCAAAAAGCAAGTTGGGAGGAAAGGGAAAGGATTTCTTTAGTCTACACGTCTATATCACTGCTTGTCAAAGAAGGAAGTCGGGACAGGAACTCAAACTGGTCAGGAACCAGGAGACAGAAGCTGATGCAGTGGCCATAGAGGGGCACTGTTTACTAGCTTGTTCAGTGTGGCTTGCTTCGCCTGCTTTCTTATACACCTCAGGACCACCATCCAGAGATGACACAACCCACAATGTGCTGGACCCTCCCCATTAACTCATTAATTAAGAAAATGCCATACAGCTGAATATTATGAAAGAATTTTCTCAAATAAGGTTCCCTCCTTTCAGATGACTCTAGTTTGTGTCAAGTGGACATAAAACTAGCCAGCACAGGTAGATAGATGGATGGATAGGTGGATGGATGATGGATGGATGGATGGATGATGGATGGATTATGGGTGGATGGGTGACTGGATGGATGATGGATGGATGGATGATGGGTGGATGATGGGTGGATGGTGGATGGATGGATAAATCAGTGGAAGCACAATGCAGTCCCTGCTGCCTGCCTCTTTCATGCTTTACTGTTTGCCAAAGAACTGGTCACTTTCAAACACACTCCCTGTTTTGGTGACTTCCTGTATGTGTTCCTCATGCAAAATGCTTGTTCAACAAGTGCAGGGGTTCTTACTGACGTTGGTCCCTGCTCTATGTCTGTTGGTAACAACAGGGGCTGTCACATATTAAACACTCAGTAAATATTTGTTGCACCAGTCACTGGCGCCCGGGAGAGGGGCCTCCTTATTTCAGGGGCCTGGGGAGAACTGAGTGGGCAGCAGAAGGACAAAGTTGAGATAGCCTTGGGAAGGGAAAGGCCTAGAAACCAG